CGAGCGAATGAACCAACGCCGCAAAATCAATATAACAAATAATAACGAACTCATGTTTCTATTCATATCACCCACCACTATCCCCCCACCCCACCCCTCTTGTCGTTCTTACTCTTTTTCTTCTCTACGAATCCCTAGCACTCAGTCCTCGAATCGCATCTATGAATCGCTCAATCACAGGCACTGTGACCTCCGGCTTCTCCTCAAGAACATTAGAGTCGTTCTTGCCATTGCCCCCACTTTCACTATCACTTTCACTACTCAATGGTGCACGAATGTTGTTGATATTGATATTGATATTGTTGCCTTTATTGCAAGCGGCCCCACCCTTCACCGATGACGTATTAGACGACACAGTGGAAGAAGATGAAGAGACTGAACAACTAAGCATGTCCATTGAAATTGGATTTACCCCTGCTTGCTCAGTGGTAGATATCATGCCCCGTCTGGTATTAGATGCTTTCTGTGGACTTTTTGTGTGAGTGTAACTCCCAACACTAGTACCTACCGCATCGCCAGTGGTATTATTAGCCGCATTTCCCATACTTCCACCGCTGGATCGTGTGTTTGAGGATGGACCGCGTTCTTTTCTACCTCCATGCTCTTCCTTCTTATCATGTACTTCTACTGAACTGTTGTGGTGTACAGTCTCCACTAAACCATCTTTATTTATATGGCTTCGGCTGCCACGTGAGTTGGTACGGGAAAAGGGTACCCAGTCCTTTCCTTTCTTTTCCACTGTACCTTCTGCTTTCTTGGAACTAACAGCCACTGTGTTGTTACTGTAATTATTATCTTTATTGGTAATATTACTATTTTTATTGGTAACATTATTATTATTACTATTATTATTAACTTGGGTATGATTGGTGGCAGGAGTAGGAGTGAGACTGTGAGGGTGAGGGGTGTTGTTGGCGCTACTGGATACTTTCTTTACCTCTTGCTTATGCAGGTCGTTTCGACTGCTATGGCGTGAGTTTGTGCGTGAAAATGGAACCCATTCTGTCTTTTTCACTGATGTATCTTTTGAGTTCTTTTGATCTCCAGTCCCAGTATTACTGTTGGAGGATACCCCAAGGGTGGAGCTCTTGCTAATGGATGATTCCCTCCTACTAGCCGAAGCGTTCACCCCAGCAGTGGAACCTTCTGCACGGAGAACAGGACGAGCCATACCAGCATTAGCCGCTGCCACGGTCGTATTTGTTGTTGTTGCTGCTGTTGTTGTTGTTGGTGGTGTTTTTGCAGCTGCCCCTGAACCAGACACCCCAGCGGGCATTCGTGGGGTAACGAAGGTGGAAGAGAGGGGTGAGATGGTGACGGAGAGCATCCCGTGCCGCAGACGTGGGGTTCGTGAGGAACTGTGTAGTGCCGCATTGGTGCCGCTGGCACGACTCTGCAGGAAGTACTGCAATGAAGAGGCACTTGTGCTAGAGACACATATAGAGACAATGTCATCACTCTCTGTGCGGGGAGCATTCATTTTATACCGCCGTGGAGATGCTGTGTGATCACTGCGAGCAGATACTGGGGGACGATCACCTCGGATTTGTGCCATCGCGGCTAATACAAATGAACCCTGATTCGTTGCGCCTGTACCAGCTGCTGGTGAAGGTGAAGGTGCTTTTTGCGTTGGTGTAGTTCCTGTTATTGTTGCCGTTGCTGTTGCTGCCTGCGGTGTTTGTATTGGTGGTACTAGTACGGTTTCTCTAGTAGCTGGTGTGGCTGTTGTGGCTGTTGTTGGTGGTGTTGGCACTGCTACGGTGTTGTTGGTTGCTGCTGTGGTGGTGGATGCTTGTGGTGGTGCTGAGGCGGATACGGATATGGATGCGGATCCAGATGCCACTAACGCCGAAAACGATGATGATAATGATGCCAAACGTGGAGTTCCTGATGTTCGTGCGGGTATTTCCTTGAATCTTGGGAGTGTCTCCATTGGACTAGTTGAGGGGGTGGTTACATGTCCTTCCCTAAGGGAAAAGTGAGGGGCCGCAGAGTCAATACTTCTGGACTCACTTATGTTTGAAGTTTCTACGCCTTGTGTCGCATTCTGTTTCTTCTTTTGCTGTTGTTGTTGTTGTTGTTTCTGCAACTGAGATTGAGACTGCAGTGTTTGTGGTTGTGTTCGTTGTTGTTGGGAGTTTACCTGTCGAAGCCCCTGACCACCAGTGCGTGGGTATTGTGAAGATGGTGGTCCTTCTCGAAGCTTCGCTTGGCTGCACCCCATTTCTCTCTCTCGTGAGTGTGTGTGTGTGTGTGTAACGGAACCAGGAAGCAACAACGAAAAAAAAAAAAAAAATAAGTAGTAACTTTCCTCTTGATGTGAAAAGAAAGAGAAAAAGAGAAAGAAAGGTATAAAAACAAAACAGGGAAAAAAGGGGGAACAAGAACGATAAATTCCACTAGTAAACCTCTGTCCAGAAGAGCTACATATACAGCCTTTTTTCATAATATTTATACACGGCGTCTGTATGAATATAACCTTCTTGATCCAATTCCCCAAACCGTGTTTTGCAGTGGAATACTGCAGAAACAGTGGAAGAAAGAAAGGAAGGAAGAATTGGAGTAATGACATCGAAGAAAAAAAAAAGGGGAGGGAAATAAAATAAAAAAACACCAAATATAACTACAAATAATATTAATAAACAAAAGCAAAAATAAGAATAGTCGTAACAGTAATATTCTTACTAGTAGCATAACATGGGATTGGTAACCATTCGTTCTTACAAAGAAATTTCGTAACAATTCTCTCTCCTCTCACCATTTAAGGACCCAATCAATCAATCAATCAATCAATCAATCAATCACTCACTCACTCACTCAAAAATCTTTTCTTCTCTATTTTCAACATCTTTCTATGTATATCTATATGTATGGATACATTCTATTGTTCATATAAACCCTGTAGATCACCATTCCTCCTTATCATCATTATCATCATCTCATTCTATGTTGCAAAGGTTTCTCGGTGTATAGTGCGAGCCAATGTAGCCGCGAGATCTGCCGACTGCTGCAGTAACGCCACCGCATCCGCCCCTCTACTTCTATCACACTCCCTCCCCTGCGCCATTTTCTTTTCTTTCTTCTTTTCTTCTCGTTCTTCTTCACCTGGTGAACCATGTTCCCCCTCCTCTGCTGATGTGGCTGTGTGTGTTGTTTTCGTGCTCTTCTTTCTTCTTCTTGTGGTTTCCGCATCACTTTGTGTGATGCCCTTCACGGCGGCCGCGAGACGTATTTTACCAGCCGCACACCGCCGCTGCAGTCTCTCTATGGTGTGTTCAAACTGCAGTACTTCCTCATCTCGTTGTTTTTGCAGTTCTGCAAGTGCTGTTTGTTGAATACGCATCTGCTCTGTATAGTATGATTCCTGTGTTTGCACTTCCAACTCCGCCTCCTCTGCACGAACACGTGTGAGGGCGAGTTCCTCTTCCATTTCTTGTTGTTGTTGTAATTGCTCTAATGTTGTGCCAAGACGATGGCGTAGTGTGTGTAACTCCGTCTCTGCTGTTTGTAGTCGCTCCGTGAGTTTCGCATGTTCCTCCCGCACAGACCGCAATTTTGTACTTTCCTCCTCCTTTTCCTTTTCACACTTCTGTTGTGTTAATTGCAATTGTTGTATCTCCCGCTCATGTTGCTGTTCTTTTTGTCTAAAAGACGCAATCGCCTCTGCGAGTGCAGATTGGGCTGTTTGTTGTGCCTTCAGAGCATCCGCACACTTCTCTTCTAATGCCCTTACATCTGCCAACAGTTGTTGACGTTGTGTCTCTGCCTGTTCATGTTGTTTCTGCTGTGCTGCCAATAGACTCTCACGTGTGTGGTCCAAATCATCCAGAGCTGATTTCAATTGCCGCTGCACGTGAGCCAACTCCTCTGCGTGTGTGGCCTTCAGTGCGGCCATACATTCCTGCGTGTTGCGCCGTTCACCCTCCACGCGTGTTTGTTCGGTGTTGTTTGCGGTTTGAAGGGCATTCACGGCGTTATCGGCAGCTGCACGACACTCCCGCAGTTGTGCCGTCACTGTGTTGTGAAGACCCGTCGCCTCTTCCGCCGCGGCGCGTGATTGGCGGAGTTGTGCCCGCAGCGTTTCATTAGCGGCGGCGAGTTGCATCATGCGGTGCCCGTTGCGAGTGGCTGTTAAATCCCACAGTGTCTCTGCAAAGTGAAAGCGACTGGACAACTCATCATATTCCATTGAACGGCGGTGGAGTTCTTCAATGAGACGTAGTTGTTCACGCAGACTCTCTTCACGCTCTTGACTGCCGCTAATATTATTACTATTCGTGAAACCAGCACCACTGATGCTAGTGTTACTATTGTTGTTGTTATTATTGTTGTAATAATAATAATACTCACCACCTTCCATGCTAGTATTACTGGCATTATTATTATTATTATTATTATTATTATTATTATTATTATTATTATTATTATTATTGCTACTAGGAATGTTATGAATGAGATTAGGATTAGCACCACTGTTGGTACCACTACCAATCTCAAAATCCGCCTGTGGTGAGTGTGGATGATGATGATGATGATGATGTTCTTGCTTTTGTTGTGGTTGATGTGTTCGATTAGTCATACGTTGTTCATGTATATGCCTTGCCGTTGAACTAGAAGTGGGTGATGGTGTTGCAATTGTGGATCCCGTTGTTGGGACGGTTGTATTGGTGAAAACACCACCCACAGCAGCATTAGCACTAACAGTAGGAGTAGCACTAGTAGATCTCAAAATGGGTGGTACACTTACACGTGTTAGTTGTAAAGCAGAAGTACGCCCTCCACTTCTTCCAACGGCGTGATGTAATCGCTGATTATCTACACTCAGTCTCTGTAGTTTTAGTCGCATCATTTCACGTTCTTCCTCCCATTGATTTCGCTCTCTCTGTGACTTTTCATAATCCACAGTGGCTGCCTTGTACAAGTGACGAAGTTTCTGTGTATCTTGTACTTCACGTAATAGCAATTCTCGTTCTTTTCTCAGTTCCTCTAACTCATGACGTAGGCTCATTTCCTTATTCTTGTATTTGTTCACAATGTCTGTACACATGGAGCGAAGTTGCAGCACTTCTGTTGGTGAGGCCCAGTGTTCAAAGTAGGATAAAACCTCCTCCGGTAGCTCAACAGCATTATCAGGGTAAAGTGGTTGTGGAAGGCTAGTTTCATTACTGCTACTACTGTTACTCATATTACTATTACTATTATTATTATTATTGTTATTATTATTATGGGGATGTGGGTGTTGGTGACTACTCCTTCCGTAGGCCGGTAACATTGTGGAATTCTGAGATTCTGGAATCCGTTGTCGTTGATACTCTTGTCTGGGATCAGAAGGTGGTGATGATGAGGTTGTGGTAGTTGTTACTGGAGGAGTATTCCCCAATACTGTAGACGCAGTTGACATACCTCTACTCTCTACAACAATAACAATAACAGCACTGCTGAGATGCCGGCTAGACCCAATGGCAGACTCTATGTGCACTATCTAAGAAAGAGAGGTTTTTTTTATTTATTTTTTTTTTTTTTTGAAAGAAGAAAAATAAAATAAAATAATGGAGTAAAAATCAAAATAGTGTCATAATAGAGAAGCAGAGAAAAGAATAAATAAATAAAAAGTAAAAAAAACGCAAAAAAAAAAATTAATGAGTAGAAGAAATAAACTAAGGATGGGAGAATGTTTATTTTTTTTTTTTTTTCATCTTATTTTTCCTTTATTTGAGCTCCTTAGAAATCCTCAAAGGAAGCAGGAATTTTCACAGCATTTGTGCATCCATCATGGTATGTGTATTGTACTGTCAATTTAGCTGCAGTCCTCCCTGTCGCAATCCCTCCCGCTGTTCCTCCTGCTGCTGTTCCCACCGCAGGCCGTCGACCACTCGTTAATGTTGTTTTAGTTGAACTCTCAGGAATAAGACGTCCAAAGAAATCCCGTTTTCCACTCGGTTTTAATTTCGCAGCAACAGTAGTAGTAGGTGATAATGATGATGAAGTCAACGTGGGTGGAATAATAGTGTTATTAGACGCTGTAGTTGGTTCAAGAGGAGATATAGGGGAACTCATATTAGTTGTACCCTTATTCTCTAAGCTCACTACGCTCTCTTTCACCTTCTTGTCTTTATTTTCAAGTACTTCCTCTTCTTCTTCTTCTTCCCGCTCACGTTTACGTCCTGCTGCTGGCAATCCACTTTCGTCTACTGCCTTTCCACCCAATGCTGCTAAAATACCCCCATTGTTATTGTTATTATTATTGTTATTTCCATTGTTCCTCCTCGTTGCCGTCGTTGTGGAGTGTGCTGCCTTATTCTGTATGATATACCGCTGGATTTCTCCCACCATAAGTTGTTTTATCTCCTCCTTCATTCGCAGAACCATCACAGATGTTGACGCATTTGTAGAAGCAAAAGATGATGAAACAGCAGAAGAAGCATTATTAGACTGACCCCCCAAAGTAAATCCAACACGTCTTGTAGGCTTTGTATGCATTGTCTGCAGGGTAACACACCCAATACGATGAATAGGTGGTGTTAACTCCCAATGCTCCTCTACAACTCCATTGTTACCTACAGCATCATCTTCCTCTGCGGTTGCCGCTCCTCCTCCTCCTCCAGGGAATGATAATAAAGTTAAAGCAGATGATGATGATGATGATGATGTTGCCGCTCCTGCTTCTGTTAAGCGGAATGATGAACGTGCGTATGTGAGCCCATACTCCGCGTGGCGTGCGATAGAAGCCTGCAGTAACAACTGATCCTCACGGTTTAATGCGGTGAGTGAGGCAACAGAATGGGCAGGTGTACGTAGCGAAGCATTACACAAAGACCTCAATAATAATGGGGCCACTTCCTGGGCGATAGCGGCAATAGAAGATAAGTGTACGGCGAGTGGACCACGACATCCATCTCGTAGTGCTCGTGCAATTGATACCGATTCTGTCTCTTTACGTGATGATGTGTTGTACTCCCGCGGGAAGCCGAGGGGTGCGGCTGTACGGCCAGAAGTACTGCAACAACATGAGAAACACGCCGCTGCGGTTGTATAGGCATACTGCTCTACAAATGGTATTAGCGTAGCACTGGCAGTGGCATTGTGATAAGCATTTGTGGAGAGATAGTCGTGAAATGAAAAAGCATCTGCCATGGTACTTGTACGCTGCAGTGAGTAGTCGGCGTAGGGTCGTTGTAAGTAATATTCCTGCAGACCATCCAGAAGTGTACGTGACTCCACACACTGCTGAACTGCATGGGAAACATAAATATATCCTGGATCCACACGAAACCCTTGTGTTACATGTTCATTACCTTGTTCTTGTCCTTGTGGTGAACTCTGATTATTATTATTATTCTCCATGATGATATCTTTCTTTGAAGTGGAGGTGTTTTGAATGCCTGCCATCACAGCCGCCTCGTAATCCACACCATAATCTTTACGAAGCATCTGAATGTATTTACTACGCTCCTGCCGCACAAACACAGTTCGCCATGTCTCCCATAATCCTAATTCAGTATCTTTCCCTTGCATTTCATGCATAATCATCGTTGTCGTTGCTGTTGTCATTCCCTGTGATGTGTGGCGATAGAGAAACTGTAGTGTGTTGAGACAACATCGTACATCTCCGTTACTGGACTGCACTAATTCTGCCAGTGCGGTTGCACTCACATTTAATCCCTCACGTTGTACAATCTCACCAAGCCTGGATAGCAGCCGCTGTGGACGAATAGGCTGGAAGTGGTATACGTGTTGACACTGTCGTCGTAGAGGCCGCAGTGAAGGTGTGTAGTAATCATTGCAGAGACAAAATACAGGACAATGAATATCTTGCTTTAGAAGAAAAGCAGCCACATTAGCAGCAATACCATCCATCTCATCAATGATAAGACACTTGGGTCTCTGTAGCATCTCTACAAGCGAAATACCTTCTCCTCCTCCTCCTCCTCTTGTGGTTGTAGTTGTCGATGCACCTGATAAGGATAGTGATGAGGAGGAGGAGGATGTGAGTGTCGCCTTAGCTGAAGAAGAAGAAGAAAGAGGATGTACACGACGCCTTGATCGTGCAGGTGCTACAGCGAGTTGAATAGCATTCTCCAACGCCGATGTTGTGCGGTCCACACTGGCATTTATTTCAATGGGTTCATACCCACAATGTACGGCGAGTACATGTGCTAGTGTCGTCTTTCCCACACCAGGTGGGCCCACTAAAACTGCCAATCGTTCTTCAGGTCGCTTGGGAGAAGAGGTGAATCCCGTAGAAATAGTATCAACATCATTACTAGTACTACTAGTAGTGTTATTGTCGTTAAAGATATAGGCATCCCAGCTTTTCATCCATTGCAGCAATTTTAGATTCGTGGAATCATCGCTAAGAAGATCTCGAAACCGTTTGGGACTGTACTTAATAACCCATAGTGTATCGTCCCCTCGGCTGTTCTTTTCTTCTTGTTGAGATGTTTTTTGTTTATCATGAGTTAAGATCTGACTCTTTCTATTGTTCTCTGCGGCTTCTTCGTAAATCTGCTGTAGCAAAGTGGGAACATTCACATAGCCAAGTCCAGTACCAGTCCGCCGTCGGCGCAGTTCCTGCACCACACTCAACAACTCTTCCTCTCCTTCATCATTATTCTCATTTTCTTCTTCTATTTCTTCTGAATGTTTCTGCTCTTCTGGTTGCGGATACTCCCCTGTGTTCATCCCAGTCTCTTCTCTTCCACGTTTCCGCGAGACTTGACGTCTTTCTAATCCCGATGCTGTGAGCCAACGCACCACGCCATTGTCGCCGCGCATCATAAAACACATCTGTGAGAGCGGAGGGAGATCGCAGATGCCTTTGGATACTTCCACTCCTGTTGTTGTTGTTGTTATTGATGATGATGTGGTGGTGGTGGTTTTAGTGGGTATATGTGAAGATAGTGTTGTTGTTGTTGTTGTTGTTGTTGTTGTTGTTGTTGTTGTTGTAGGTGGAAGAAATGAGACCGCGTCGTTGGCGAATGGCACATTTCTCAACAACTCTTCATCCTCCTCTTCTTCATTGTAGTAGTTATTCTTGTTGTTATTCTTCTTGGCCTCACGCTCTGCAGCCATCCACATTTCCTCATCATCTTCACATTGATGTGTCGACATCTAACGACGGCTCCACCAACTTCTGCAATCTATTTTAGTTTCAAGTTCGCTTATGTCTGATCTTGTCACTTTCTTTTTTTTTTTTACTTTTGTTTGTTTGTTTGTTTGTTTATGTTTTCTCTTCTTTTTTTTCTTTCTTCTATGGTACTTCTTTGAAGGAAGTGTTGTGTAATGTGTTTCCTGCTCTATCCCCTCTCAGCTCCTGCAGCTGTCAATGTAGTGTAGTGTATACCGCCTGAGAATCAAAGAAGTAAAGAAACACATAAACACAAAGAATGAATGAATGAATAGATAGATAAATAGAGAGATCAATAAGTAGATAAAAAGAAAGATAAAGAAAGAAATAAATAAATACAAATCATTACAGAAACACTTGTCCAAGATACAGAGACACACACTACCCTGTGAATAACCCCAATGCCTTTCCATACAAACCACCAACGCAAAAAGAGTCGAACGTGGAAAAAAAAAAAGATCACGTCAACTTAACAATGTGGCAACTCTACCCAACTGTACATACCCAGCAGAGGCACAAAAATAAGAACACCAACAACAACAAGAATATCAACAACAAAATGCAAGTGTCAAGAAGAAATCAACTCAATAAAAAGCGCACACAACAGTCACAAAAAAAACAAGAAAAAAAGGGAGCTAAGAAAGCCGTGTGTCACCCGATGCACGAAATATCAAAAGGAACTCCTCTAGTGGTGACTCCCACTCCGATCGCCAAACATCTTCTGGAACGCGTCTCTCAACAAGATCATGATGAACAGTCGTATTATTATTCTCATTATTAACGGTATTCACGTCATTATAAGAAGAAGAGATGGTTCTGGGTGCGTGACGCAATACTTCCTTGTAAACAGAAAAGGCCGCGTCCAATTCCTCTTGCGTTACTGCCCCACTCCGCACCTGCGCCCCGAGAGTGACGTTCACGGCAATAAGTCCATCGCAGAGGTGCTGCAGTTCTTTTCCCTCCGTGAGGGCCACCACAGCAATGCGGGGTATATCCATTTCCCGTATAGGCAGTAGATACGGATCATCGGGGTTGTGTAGTAACTTCGATAAGGCTCCCTGCTGTCGCCGCTGAAGAGTAATGAAAGCAGTGGGAAGATACGAGTGTAGAGTGAAGATCGTAGTAGTTGTGGGACGACGCCACAAACCAGCCATCTGTCTATTTCTTACACAAATGTGTGGACCTCCGCGAGTAGACCCCACGGCAAACTTCACTACTGCAGAGTACATATATTCCTCTCTGTGTAGTCCTGTGGGGGGAAGAGAAGAAGAAAAAAAAAAACAGGAAAGAAATAAGAAAAACGTGGGATGGCGAGTGAGAGAGAGAGAGAGGGAGGGGGAAAAAAAAAAACGAACATAAGTGAAGATAAGCTTATTCGTGGAGAAAAAGCAAACCAAAATATATATATATATATATATATATATATATATATATATTTGCAAGGGATTGTAAAGAGTCACACGAATTAGGCTTTCTGAGGACCCAAATATAACAATTCAATATACGTGTAGTTATGAAGCATGAATAGATCTATCATCTCTTAAAGAGAGAGAAAATAAAAAGGGCACACATCCACATACATACAGAGAAATATGTATAAAGGTATGTAATGTAATGTATGTATGTATGTAATGTATGGAATATACGTATGTATGTATGTCATATTATATCCTGCAGCATCAAAAAAAAAAAAAAAGAGAGAGAGAGAGAGAGATGTAGAAAGTGAAAAAAAAGTGAAAAAAAGAAAGAAAAAAAAAATAAAATAGCTAGTTCACAGACCTGGACAGGCCACATTAAGGTTCTCACTGAGGTCCCGCATTGCGCGGTGTACATCACTGCGTAGTGAACCCATACGTGAACGCACATCTGCCAACTGCAACTCCACACCATGGCGTTCACGCTGCACCGCCGCCTCCACTTGTGCACATCGGCTATCCACAACAGTATCAATCATTGACTGATGTGCACTCATTAATCGCCGCATGTGATCAAGCATTGGCTGCATAATCTCCTCTCGCACTCTCTGCAAACAGCGGTTCTCCACGCCTGAGACTAGATGTTCCACACGACGCAGCAGACGAGTATCACCCACCCGAGATCGATGTTGTTGTTGTTGTTCCCGTTGTTGTTGTTGTTGTTGTTGTTGTTGCTGTTCTGCTCCCCGTACTTCAGCGGGGGTATGGGTAGTAGTTGATAGATGGGGAGAGAAAAGTAGGTCTGTGCTTTCCGTATTCCCCGGGAAGAAACGCGGCAATCGCAACTCTTCCACATCGAGTTGCACTGACCCAAGAGTATCCTCAAGTGTACCAATTCTTTGTTCCAATGAAGAAAATTTATGTTTCCACTCCCGACGCAACGCCTTCATACCCCGCCGCTGTTCCTGCTGCCGTGAGAGTAAAACTTTTCTTTCACGAGAGAAGTCTTCTTCCATTAGTATGGAGCGAACTGCGAGCCGCAGATGTGCGTCCAAGACCTCTGATGAGAAACCGCCCAATTCATCCCCAGGCAATGCTTCTGGGGCTGTTAAAGAGGGTAAAGGTACAGATTCGCCTGCAGGCACACCAGATCTTTGTGCACTTACGGTTCTCTCTCTTTGTTCTTGCAACAGTTGCTGCACAGTGGATACAGTGTATTGTTTTACCTTTTCTAGCATATTTTCGTGCGCTGCAGATGAATATATTCCTCCGGCGCCACTACTCTGTTGTGTTCCGGTTATTTGCTCTTGTGATATACCTCTTAATAAAGCATCCTGTCTATGTTGCTCTTGTTGCTCTTGTTGTTGTTGTTGTTTCCTCTGTTTGCATAACTCATCCACACGAGCGTGCAATGCATACAAGTCCTCCCGTACAGCTCCACATAGTTCCACAAATCCCTCGCGAAGCATACTAATGTTATTTAGTGCCGTATCACTTCGACCTTCATGTGGAGCGTTACTTCCACTGTTGCTATCTCTTCTATCATAGCTAACACTGGAAGGGGAGTCTAGTGGTCGCCCTACAGGCAATGCTGAGGCACCACCTTTTGATTTTCTCTTTCCAGTGGGGAGAGTGCTACAACCACCAAGAGCAGCAGCAGCAGCAGCGGCAACTGCAGATCTAGCTGGATCGTTAGGTGTTTCACGGAGCTCAGGCGATATCAAAGAAGGTGAACTTCTGCCTGGCAAGTGAAGTGCGCGGTGTGGCCTCCTACTTATCCTGTGGGAAAGCTGAAAAGAAGAAGTCAAGGTATCTTCCCTTCCACTACTACTACTACTACTACTACTACTGCTGCTGCTGCTGCTTAAACTTTCATTACTGCTAATATCACTAGTGCTGTTATTATTATTATTATTATTATTATTATTATTATTATTATTATTATTATTATTATTATTATTGTTATTATTATGATTGTTATTGTTATTATTATTATTTTTTTTTTTATTATTATTATTATTATTACCTGAAATCGTTTGTGTAGCAACATACGGCTCTGTAGAAAAAGCAACTGGAGAAGCATCTCCCACTACAAGCCTTGACCTCCTTTCCAAAGGAAGCGTCCCAGGAGCAATAACACCAACAGTACCAGCAGTATTGTCACCTGCAGTAATGATTTCTTCTTCTTCTGATTCTTCATCTGGGGCTGTTGCTCTTCTTCTTGCTGCCATTTCTATAGTCTCTACTGCATCAAATATATCATGCTGTGATAACGCCTCATACGTGCCGCTGCTTCCTCTATACAACGGACTCAGAAATAATCTTTCAGCTGAATTCCCATCATCAGCAAGATTGCCTGCCCTACTAGTAGGACTAGGAGTCTTATTAGTAGTTGTAGTTATAGCTGCAGGATTATTATTATTATTAGAGGAGGTAAGATCCGTAAGATCCGTAGCGTTGTTATCACGATGCACGGCCTCACGAATACGATCCAGTGTATCCTGCAGATGATCCAAACGTTGAGACATACGCCCACGCAAGGACCCTCCTGTATCTAATGAACGTACACTGCTCAGAACATGGCGTGTGTTAATTCCCTCACCACTAACACGCTCACGGCGGGATTGCATTCTTCGTCTTCTTCTTCTTCTACAGCACCCACTGTCTCCACTACAACAACCACGACGAGTGGGTGTACGCACTAGTGCATTTGAACGAACTCTGGAGTTCATACGCAACAGTGAGTTTACCGTCTCACGGTGAGCACCCGTTCCCATTGATATTCCTATTGGTAATGGAGATAACGGTGTTTCTTGAGATGATCTTCCACCCCGTAGAGCATCCATACCCATAGAGATATACGGTGATACTAATGATGGTGATGATTGCTGTTGGGCAGACCATCGTTGTTGGTCCTGAACGCCGAAACTACTACTGATGTTTCCCCTTTGACTTGTTGGGACCACTACGGGGCTATTACGATGACTGCCACTACTGCCGTGATACGGGTTTCCTCCTAATGTTGGTGATGCTGGTGTCCCTAAACGAATATTTGACTGGCGTGGAGAAGTCACACCGAAGACACTCTCTATAGGGCTGCTCCCGAAGCTGGTACGATGATCATGATGATGCGGTACATCAAAGAGGCCCCGACACACCTCACAGTATGAGCTCATACTCTGTTTGTTTGTTTTTCTTTCTTTCCGCCTCCTGAAATAGGAATGTAGAGACGGGAAACGCAAGGGAAAAGAAAGAAAACAAAAGAAATATATATATATATATATATATATATATATATATCTACTTATTTATTTATTTATTTATTTACAAGACTTCACGCACCTTCCACCTATTACTTACAATACCTTCAAGTCTGGTGTATGTGTATATTTCCTTCTTAGCCTCTGTGTATGCGTGCAGTTAGAGTTTGTGTTGTTTTTTCACCTTCTGCTTCACACCCGCTTTTTACCAGTGACTCCTTCTTTTGACTTAATCACACCCCCAGCGATCATAATGGGTTATACATGGTAATAAACAAGTGCACATCACACAAAAAAAAAAGAAAAAGAGAAAAAGAGAAAAAGAGAAAACAGGGAAAGACGGTGTGTCCATAAAAAAAGAAAAGAAAAACCTCCAATAAAACAAAAGAACAAGAGGAAAAATAACAAAAACAATATGTATACACAGCAACAGCAGAAAACCGTATCACCGCTCACTCTAAAAGAGTGCATAACCAGTGGCTGTACTGTACAAACAAAGAAAAAAAAAAGAGTAACGCAGTTATAATCTAAAAAAAAAAAACGAATGAATGAATGAATAAACAAAACAGAAGAAAAAAAAAAGATTTAATGGCGGTCAGTCCCTCTTTAGTCTTCTCTAGATTTCACAAGTATATATATATATATATGTATGTATATATCGCTACGCCAACAATACTCTATTGAGAAGTTGCCGCTCATGCGTCATAGACTCCAACAGCACATGCTGCAGTTCCGCCGCCTCACGCTGCAGAGAGGCAACCGCACGATACACATTCGTCTCCTCACGCACTAGATCTGCAGCGCATCGGTTTAGCACAACACCGCCACTAATGCTGCTTATATTAAGTTCGAGATCCCCATCACATGTTGACAGATTGGCAAAGGATGATGGTTGTTGTTGTTGGTTTTCCTGTACAATCTTCTTCGCTAGAGACAAGGTCCGCAAGGCGATATCCCGCACTCTCTCTGTGGCCTCTCGAAATGCACGCAGACCATTGTATGTATTTCCATTTACTTCAGTCACTGGCACCGATACTTCCGACCCACGATCAATAGAAAGTACAAGGCCATTTATCCTACTATCCTCACATCCCCGCTGTTGTTCTTGTTGTTCTTGGGGAGGATTATCCCCAGAGGTTGGGGCAAATACTGTAGCCCGGAGAAGCACCCGGCGTAAATGCTCAGCAATAGCATTCTCAGAATATACTTTAGGCGCCGATGAGGAGAACGATGTGAAAGAATCAGTTGGTGCAACAGCAACAGCAGCAGTAGTAGTAGTACTAGTAGTAGTACCAACCGTTTGACACAGATGGTTGTGGTTTTCACCATTAACGTGTTGTTGATTGGTGGTATCTGCAAATAACCCCGTGTTCCTGTTGTCTGTCAAGACACCTCCACGCGATACCTTCTCCAACTTCGCTCCTTCTCTCATCTGTTGTTCTTCTCCTTCTTGTTGATGTTGATGTTGTTGTTGAAGGTGCTGTAAAGCGGCAATGGCCTCATCACACTTTTGCCGCGCGCGTTTTGCCTCTTCAGACTTTTCACTGCAGAATTGACTACAGCGCTGCAATATATCATTGAAAACACTTTCAAGACCTTTAAGAGTCGTACTTGTTGCTGTTGTTGCTGTTGTTGTGGTGGTGGTAGTGGTAGCGCCTTCTCCATTATATCGCATGCAGCGGGAACTCATCTCTGCTCGCAATTCACTATTTTCGAGTTCCAATCGCAGTACTTGCTGTTCAAGGAAGCGTATTTTCCTTTCTGCGGCAATCAACTGTCTTGTGGGACTCACCGGTCTGTCTGTTGTATTCACTTTCCTTCTTGCACATCCACATGGACGTGTGTGGATATCTCCTCTACCACTGCAGTTCCCACTGCATGTCATCATTACTTCACGCTCTAAGGATGTTTGCAGTGAAGTAGATGGTCCAAACAATTTCCCAGATACCCCTTTAAATTCTTCTCCCTCGGTGCGATTTCCAAGAATACCACTCTGCAGACGTGACTCTCGTACTCTCATCTCATCAGAAACACGTTGCTTTTCTTCTTCTGCTTGTTGCTCCTGTTCCTTCACAGACTTCTGCAACTCTGCCAGTATAATGGCATCAGAGTACAGCATTGTGTTAAGCCGTGCAATATCACGTCGGTGTTCTTTTCGTGCCTCTGCCTGAGAACGTTGTGTTAGTTCTTGCAATTCTGCAAGTGGCTGTTGTAGGAAAGATCGAACAGTGCTGGCGAGATCACTACATTCACTACTTGAGACAGGCACTAGACCTTCATTTTGGTCTATAAATTTCTTCTCCCCTCTTCTTCCTTCGTTGATCTTTACATTCACTTTAATACGATCATTTGAAATTTCATCCATATGATCTTCACAGGCAGTATTCGATACGAATAATGATGATGATGATGATAATGTTCTAATCACATCCATGTTCGTCGCGTTTTCTGACGTATGGGACCACTTCACACCAATGGCAGCATCTACTGCATTATGCTGAAGATCATCCCTAGTACTAGTACTTGTGCTGTTATTAGGATTGTGATTAAGATTATGGTTAATAATCATAGTATTATCCGTATGCACACTTTCCTCTGGGTATTCTGTGCCTGACACGGAGGGTGGTGATAATGGCGAGGCCCCACCTTCACCGTCTATACTCTTATTACCCACTTCTCTCCCACTATTGAGTGGTGTTAGGTGTAATAGTGAAAATGGAGGTGGAGGTGCGTATTCCGATATTCGCAATTGTGGTAGATGTTCTTTTTCTTCTTTTTCTTTTTCTTCTTTTTCTTCTGGCTCTTGTTTTTGTGGATGTTGATGTTGATCTTGAGAGGGAGTGTACGGGGATTGTACCTCTAAGCACGACTGTCGTTCCATAAAGGCTGACCATGGGGGATATGATAACGGTGAAGTGCTAAAGAGAGGAGCATCGCGATGATTAGAAATATGAGTGTTCACTGCTGAGATAAGAGATGTTGTTCGGCTAATCTCTGAAAGGGTTAACAGTTCAACATCCGGCGGTGTTGTCTTTACAGGGGACATGAGACGCGGAGTGCGGGAGATCGTTGTGGAAGTATTCGCAAGCAATCCCACACCATCATTATCATCATTATCACCACCCACATCATTTACAGAAGCCACGGTACTAACAGAGAGTGTGGAATTCTCATGATATCGTAAAGGTGGTGATAATAAACCTCTCTGACGAGAAAACGGTATGGCAAACATATCAATAACACGACTGGCAGCACACAAATTTTCCTCCCGACGTCTACGACGCAATTCTGCAATGAGATGAGCATTCGTTCCATCACTGCCAGAGAGAAGTGATGCTGCAGCTCCAAGAACATCTTCATTAATATCATCGTAACAAGCATCAAGCCTAAGTGCGGTAATCCACAAAACAGAAGAACATGTATGCTGCAAAGTAGCCTCAATCATAGCCGTAACTTTATCAATACCTACACTACGAACACCAAAACCACTAATGCCCTCTTGTTGTTCTTCTTGTTCTTCTTGTTGTTGTTGTTGATTGAAAAAAAGTGGCACAATCTCTTCAATATGCTCCGGTGGTGTAGAGGCGAGCCACCATCCACCCTGCAGTTGATCTCTATGCATATAACGATATGCCATTTGGGAAATTGCAGTATGTGTGTTAAACGCCATACATGAGGCGGGACTTTCATCATCCATCCACACAGATGGTCCTGAGAGATCCCACAGACGCCAAATACTAGTAGAACCACTACTGTGGCGAAGTAATAGTGTTATCAAGATGTGAGAACCGGCACCTGCTGTAGGGCGCAAAAAGTCATTAACAGATTTAGAAGAACCTCTTCGCCCTCTTTGATATCCATATGCCTCTTCTTCTCGTTGTTGTTGTTGTGATTCTTCCTCCTCCTCTTCTTCTTCTTCACGTTTCGCCTCAACTACACGACGTCGTCGTTCCGCATTGGAACGTGTGTCAGGGACCTCAAATACATCAGTGGATCCCTGAGCAAAGGCTGTACGTGCCGACTGCCATGAGAGGGAGTGACGCAGTGCGGCATGTAGGACTGCAAGAGTTTCTGAAAGAGACTCGCAGCGAATATAACGGGCGGCAGGAATATCGGCGTAGTCTTCCATAAAACAACCAGTAGGAGAACTTTGATCAGTAACACGTGCGAGGAGATCTAATGCTTCCATTGAAAGGGTGACGTCTTTATCTAGTTCAGAGTTATTCTCTAGAGTTTTATCTTTGGATCTATTGTAGTCTTCTTCTCGTTGTGATGGTTGTTGCTGTTGTTGTTGTTCCTTATCATGATTGAAAAAGGATCGCCACTCCACAACGCTGATAGCAGCAACACATGGATTCGATTTCGCAGTAGTATCTGTACTATTGAAAATCCTTTGTATGACAGCTGTAAAGAGACCATCTCTACCTTCAGTGGAACTACACTGTCCTTCCTCTACACCATTCCCAACAGCAGCCCCGAATAGTTGAATAGACTTTCCACTCCCTGCAGCACCGTGGACCACTGTCATTAACTCCACACCCTCTGTCTGCATAAGAGTTGTGGATATATGAGCCGCTAGTGTCTGTGTATACATCACATACGGTAATGTGCCCTTCTCTCCTCCCTCCACTGTAATGAGAGGGGTTCGCACCGTCAACTCTGTGGGAGTGGCGATAGGGGCATCTTGTGTCCACGAGGTAGTGGACATCTCCATCGTTACTCCGCTTACTCGCTGGTGTGCAGCCTCGCTGTGCAGAAGCCTTATATTGCTGTGTTGTCCATTGTTCTCTGCGGCTGTGCAGCGGCCGGCGGTGATATTCACAGCAACCGTTACACGCCCATCACATACACCCCGCGTTGGCCGCATGTGGGGTTTTTTTTTTATTTACTTTAACTGCAGCCACCTATGTATATATATATATATATGGGCTGACGGGTGGAAGTTGAAAGAAGAAAGGAAGGAAGGAAAGAGGGAGAGAGTGGAAATAGAACGTTGTTGTTGGTACTGTAGGTGTCTTCCTTCAGTTCCTCTTTGTATTCCTTCTCTATGGCAATAATAATAATAATAATAATAATAATAATAATAATATTAGTTTGTTGTCCCAGTGAAAATAACGTCACCGTAAGACAGGAAGAAAAATAAAGAGAGAAGGAAGAGTGCAGAGAGCCAGATTGAGAACACAATGTGAAACCAATAAAAAGAGAAGTGATTTGCGTCAAACCCACGTATATATATATATATATAAAGTAAAAGAAGGAAAGAAAGAGACAGATAAATAGAAAATATAATTTGTTCTTTCATTTTCCTTTTCCACTGTACGCATATATATGCATATATATAATCACTCACCTTCTTCTGTCCCCGTATAGTTCTCAGATATAGATCAATAGTGGAAACATACTCCACATTGGTGTCCCCCAAGGTTAGCAACAATATCGAAAGCAAAAAACACTCACACCAACATATAAGAAATACAAAATATCCAATTACACCAGTGGAGAAGGAACGAAGCAAGAAAAAAAAAAAAAGAAAGAAAACCCCACAGAAGCAGAGATATACACATCTGTGGCCTTTTTTTTTTTTTTTAAGAAAAGCAACAAACGACACACAACTCAACAGACATTCTTTTCCTTCCTGTTGCTATGTTGTTGTTTTTTTTTTTTTTTTTCGTCATTTCCTCTTTATTCACGGCTAAAGATAATAAGCATACTGTAATGAGGGACTCCACTCCACCTTTCTCACAGTAGCCCTCCAAAACTTAAAATGGAGTGCACATAAGGCAACAACCAACAGAGCGCACACACAAACACACAAACAAACAATGAGAAAAGAAAAAAAAAAAAAAAATGAAAAAGGTACAACTTACCTTTTTTTTTTTCTGTTAATCATAATATATATATATTTTTTTTTTATTTCTTCCTTTTTTGTTATCACTGAAGTTGTTTATCTTGCTTTCGTTGTAGTCTTTTTTTTCACCCATATCCTCTTTTCTTCTTTCCTGGCCAGAGGCAACTTACCCAGACTTAACGCACAAAAGAAAGGGTAGTCTTCGATCCTCAGTAGTAGCCGGCAACAAAGGCAGTAATAATAATAATAATAATAATAATAATAATAATAATAATAATAATAATAAATAAACAATAAAAGCAAATGAAGAAAAGAGGTAACCATAAAAGAGAACAGTTCCAAAAAAAGAAAAAAAAAACGAGATTGACAAAAAGAAAAATAAAGAGTCTGCATGAACGTGTGTGTGTCTCTGCAGATAAAATATACCAAAATAAAAGAAAAAAACAGAATGCGCAAAGCATAACTCATCGTTTTTTATTGTTCTTTTTTTTCTTCTTCTTCACCACACTCATAAATGCTCTTCACTGGCACTATCACTGTACAGTACCCGAGTCTTCGCATAATTGCAAATATATTTCCAACCATCATATTATTAGGAACGTACAACAAGAAAAGAGGATCCCCCCATCGCAGATGCCTCTACACTCTACACCAAATTTTAATAAGACTAATACAAGATCTTTTATTCTTCTTCTTTTTGTTGTTGTTGTTGTTGTCTCTTGTATGTGTCATTATATTGTGCGAGTTCTCGTTATATTGTTGATATTGCTGTTGTTCTTGTTATTTTTTTTTTTTTTAGTTTGTGTGTTTGCAATATAAATATATATATATATATATCCCTCCCTCTCACACCACCTCTCTTTTTCTTTTCTGTACTTTCTTTTATCTGTTTGAAGGGCGTATATATATATATATATATATTACCGGTGTTTTTTTCCATTCTTTGCTGAAGAAAGAGCGTCCGTGAATATTGCCGCGACCTTAAGTTCTGTAATCACTTTCTGTGCTGCTTCTCGCAGGGTCATACGTTTGCGTGGAGGCATATTCTTCAGTTTCTCCTCCTCTTCTGGATCCACAACGACTGGAGGAGGTGGTAGAGACTTCTCCTTCACAGGGAGGGCGCGTAAAAGAAGGCCGAGGGGTGTTGGAATGGAGGAAACAAGAAAACAACGTCCCCACTGGGCAGAGGATAACGGGACAGCTTGCATAAGAGGTCCACCATACTGAACTCCAATCACCTGTATAATGAAAGTAAGTCCAACAATGAGTAAGAAAAGTGGGGCACGTTCTAATCCAGTGAATATATTAAGATGTCCATCAAGGATACGGGCGTTGAACTCATTAAATAACTGTAATAACACAAAGACGTTAAAGACAATGGTAAGATGTTCCTCTGAACCAGGTTGTACATTGAAAAATGTATATCCACTATGCAAAACCCATAACTGTAGTATCACTTGATATAAAGATTGACCAATAATATTACTCCACATACGTTGTGTAATTAAGGGAGCCTCACGTCCACGTGGAGAGCGATCCAGTACAGTATCACGAGGGGATTCTGTTGCCAATGCAAGTGCTGCCAATGTGTCCATGATAAGATTTAACCATAGCAGTTGTACAGGTTTTAATGGAGATCCATCACTACCACTGAGAGTGGCTCCAATAAAAGAGAAAATCACAGCAGCCACATTCACAGTCATCTGAAACTGCAGAAATTTTGAGATATTATCATGTACATTACGTCCCCATTTAATAGCTGTTACAATCGTACTGAAATTATCATCAAGGATGACAACATCAGAGGCATTCTTTGCCACCTCTGTTCCAGCATTCATTGAAAAACCAACATGGGCATTTTTGAGAGCTGGAGCATCATTTGTGCCATCACCGGTAACGGCCACAACTTCTCCACGTTTCATAAGTTCCGCAACGAGAATTTGTTTATCCAGTGGAGAAGCACGTGATATGACTTGTAAACGTGGAAGAATTTGATTTAACTTTCGTGCACTCTTCGCGAACTCTCGGAATTGTGGTCCTTCCAACGCCAATCCCTGTTCACCTGCGGCTGGACCTGACCAAACACGACCGTAGATCCCCACTTCACGGGCCACACTCACAGCTGTGGCTTTATTATCGCCAGTGATGAGACGCACAAAAATACCCGCACGTCGACATTGGGAAACCGCATTTGGTACTTCTGGTCGTACCGGATCACGAATACCAAGAATAGCAATAAGTGTTAATGGTGGTAAATGTTCATCTGTTGGAGGAAATAAAGAATGTATCTTCTTTCCTTGTTCTACTCTTGTACTTGAGTCGGCATCTTTTTCTGCTTTCAACGGTTCATCCACGTACGCCACGGCGATGGTTCGAAGACGACGACGGGACATATCCATAATTGCATCCTGCAGTGTGGCGGTGATCTTTGAACTCAATGGTACCCGGCACCCATCATGTTGTAGTCCATATGTGCAATTGGCAAGCACCAACTCACTTGCCCCCTTCACATAATATCGAATCACACCTTTCTTTCGTAATGCCAAGGCGGTGGTCATACGTTTCCGTGCACTTGAGAAGGGGTAGGAACGCATTTCCTTTTCATGTGCAAGTAACTGTGTTGCCGTATTATCCAAACTCTCTTTAGTATTATTATTATTATTACTATTATTATTAAACGCAGAGGATGGGGTTACGGAAGACAATGAAGGTGATGATATATTTGGTGAGGTTGTGGAAATCACTGCTGTTTGCTCAAGCATCTTTGCACGTACTGTCATAGAGTCCTCCCCGAGATGATTCACAAATGTTAACATCGCCTGTTCCGTTTTATTACCGGTGAGACGCACAGCACTGGTGTGAGCCACGGCATCCTCCACACGTCTCCATGCAGCTGTACTGTTTACAGAGATACTTTCTGCGAGTAGTGAACGTAGAGGTGAGGCGGATGTGAAGAGTTTGGTTAGTGTCATCTCATCTCTATCCATATTCCCAGTTAATGAAAAGGTAACTCCTTCTGCCGTGATACCATCTGTTACCGTCATTGCATTTTGTGTGATGGTACCTGTCTTATCTGTGCAAATCGTTGTGGCACTTCCCATCGTCTCACAGGCCACAAGATGACGAACCAAATTCTTTTCTTTAAACATCTGTTTCATACTGTACGCGAGGGCAATCGTAACAGAGAGTGGGAGTCCCTCCGGTACCGCCACCACCACAATCGTCACTGCCGTTGTAAGACTGTCAAGAAAAGGTTTATAGTGTAGTGGATGGTGTCCCATCATAACGGAGACCCACAGTTCCCGTATACTTAATACAGCAAACATAAGGGCGGCTGCAATAACTCCACAATTCCCAATTTTATCCGCAAGTTCAGTAAGTTTTTCCTGCAATGGTGTTTCCTCACTTTCTTTACGTACCTGCATGGAGATACGGCCGGCGAAGGAGTTTATTCCAACTCCTGTTACGAGAATCGTCGCATCTCCTTCCACCACATTAGATCCTGAAAGCACAAAGGGATTCATCACCGCATCCTTCGCAACATCATCATTCTCACCAGTTGCAGATGATTCATCCACTTTAAAGGCATTACTGTGTACCACCAGTCCATCCACAGTGAGTACATCACCTCCCGCCACGTTAAGAAGATCCCCAACGAGAAGTTCCTTGTCTGTTGTTTCCACTACAGCACCTGCACGAATTACTGTAGCTCGGGCCGCCGGTGCATCTCGCATGAGTTCCTTAAACTTCTGCTCCTTCTGGTAATTGTTAAGACTACTCACAAGGGTTACAATAGCCACAGAGAGGAGAATGGCAGCTCCCTCAATCCAGCCATGGGCGTAGTCCACACGTCCAGTATGAACATCCGGCACTGTGAGTCCAAGCAGCAAGGAGGTCACTGCGGAGATCATCAGTAATTGCATCATTCGATCCCCGAGTGAATCCCACACAAGATCCATAAATGTCACTTCCGCCGCGGGTGGAAGTTCATTCACAGAGAAGGCAGCACGGCGTGCTTGTAAGGCTTCTGCCGTTTCCACAGGCAATCCACGTAAAAGATCGGTACGCAGCAGTTTTGCCAATCCCCGCACTCCACCAAAACTCTTAAGAAGATGTGGACCCCCTGCGCTGTCAGTAACAATACTGTGTAGAGTCTCGGCGTCAACCCCAAAAGTATTCGCATCTGTTTTTAATGATGATTTTGTTGTTGTTGCTGTTGTTCCTGACGATGATGACATTCCTGCTGTTGTTGTTGTTGTTGCCGTTGACTCTTCTTCAATCGGCAATGATGGTGGTGTTTTCGTTGTCGTTAATGTTTCTCGCATTTTCGGTTTATTCCAGCGTATTATTTTGTGTTGTTCGTTCCGCGATCTAGTCTTCCACTTCCCTGTTGAAGTGTTCTTTCGTATTTGGTCCTCTCACTTTTCTTTTTTCTTTCTTTCTTTTTTTCTTTTATTTTTTCTCTGTTCACACTAGAAATAACAATGATAAGTATTTATTTTTTTTTTTCCTTTGCAGTGTTTGGCTCTTCGTGCAAAGCTCGATCTGTTCTGTTGTGGTAGTTATCGTTGATTGTTTCGCTTTTCTCGGTTTTAGGCGGTTGGAAAAAGCGAATACGTCTGTTCAAATGAATAAATAAACAAATATAGACTCAGAGTATGCAATATCAAATAATAATAATAATAAAAAGGAATATTTGCTCCTTCCGACCCGAATATGCCTTCGTCTCCTTTATCTACCTTCCCTTCTTCCTTCTTCTCTTTCCCATAGAAGAAAAAAAAAAAAGAGAGAGAGAGAGAGAGAAAAGAAAAACAATATTAAAGAAGAAAAACAGAAATAAAAAAAAACAGACAATCAGTATCACAGCAATAATCCTTTCCGGATTAATGATATCCACACAAGAGAGGAGAAAATAGTGGGAAGAAGTTGAAGAAGAAAGTAATGAACGAAACAATGAGAACACCAGAGAGATTGGCAAAAAAAAAAAAAATATATATATATATATACTGGTATATTTATATATAAAGGAATAAACAAAGAAAAAAAAAACCATGGAAAGAGATTTAAAAAAAGAAATATATAAAGACAGATTAGGGGGAAAAAAGGAAGCAAGAAGAAAAAAAAAAAGAGAAAGAAATGCTCATTGCTCCAACGTCCTTTCATCTCTTTCTTTCTCTCTTTTTTTTTTCCTTACTTTCCCCTCTTATTCCTTCTTTCTTCTTGTCATCCTCCTATTCTTTTCTTTTTCGTTGATTCCCCTATCCATTACCATTAAATCTTTTCTTTCTCATTCTCGTTTGTTTGTTTTTTTTCTCTGTTTGTTTGTTTTTCCACTCTCTTCCCTTTCTTTTATTCCCTCTTTCTTCTTGTCCCCTCATTTCCCTTCCTGTCACTACTACCACCAACACACTCCCCACTCTCTACCAATATTGTTACCTATTTTATCTCTCCATCTAACCTTTCAATGCTGTAGTTATTGGTCGATTTCTTCTTCTTCTTCTTTTTTTTTCTCTTTTTGTTCTTATTTATTGTTATTAATTGCTTGTTCCTCTCTACTGTGGGGGTGTCCATGGGTGTCCACTCTCCTTTGTCACCTCCACAAGCCGCTGGACGTACTTCGCCATCGCCTCCTCGCGTGGCATCTTCTCAATGGCCTTGCGGGCATCCCACTTTGCGCGGGCCTCGAGCTGCACGGCCCACGGCTGCGAGCCCGTCACATCTCCTTCCGTTGCTTGTTTGAAGAGTGCGTAGAACTCAAGTTTGACGGCGTTGCTGAGTTGCACGGGGCCGTCCTTTGGCAGTGAACGTACGTACTCCACAGCGGCATCAAATTGAGCAGATGTCATTGTGAGTTAAAAATGGAACTTGGATATATATATATGTATATATATATAGAGAGAGAGAGAGATGGTATGTGCAGATGTATGTATGTATGTATTGAGGGTCTAAGCTAGGGTATACTGTTTTTGCCTAATACCTTGTCTTTTCTTTTTGTTTTTTTTTTTTTAAAAACAGTAGTACTTTCGTAAATAATGATATTATTTAGTAGCGGTATTTGTTCTCTGGGAATGAGAGAATTGCGTGATATGGTGATGTTAATAAGAGCAAGGTAACAGAAAAAAAAAGAATAGAAATAAAAATAAAAAAAAACAGTATTCATTAAGTGAGGATTAACACGCAGAGTATATGGGTATTGTGTATCTATTGTATCTACGCAATTATGTATGTAAGTATGTATGTATGTATTTAAGTTTGTAAGTTTGTAATGATTCGAATAGGGAGACACTGTACCTGCACAAAGAGTTACCGTTAGTTCAACATGAAGCTCAAAAGCACACTGAAAAGGAAAGTATCAACGTCCCACGTCCCACTACCACCCATATATATATATATATATATATAGAATCTTTCATTTCCTCTCACTCTCTCTCACTCTTTCTTTCTCTTTCACTACACCTCCCTAAAACACATAAACACATAAATACACAAATACAGCAATATATATATATATATATATATATTTCCA